CTTCTATATAACTGATAGATTATTGATTATCAGAAACTTCTATATAACTGATAGATTATTGATTATCAGAAACTTCTATATAACTGATAGATTATTGATTATCTGAAACTTCTATATAACTGATAGATTATTGATTATCAGAAACTTCTATATAACTGATAGATTATTGATTATCAGAAACTTCTATATAACTGATAGATTATTGATTATCAGAAACTTCTATATAACTGATAGATTATTGATTATCAGAAACTTCTATATAACTGATAGATTATTGATTATCAGAAACTTCTATATAACTGATAGATTATTGATTATCTGAAACTTCTATATAACTGATAGATTATTGATTATCAGAAACTTCTATATAACTGATAGATTATTGATTATCTGAAACTTCTATATAACTGATAATTGATTATATGAAACTTCTATATAACTGATAGATTATTGATTATCTGAAACTTCTATATAACTGATAGATTATTGATTATCAGAAACTTCTATATAACTGATAGATTATTGATTATCAGAAACTTCTATATAACTGATAATTGATTATCTGAAACTTCTATATAACTGATAGATTATTGATTATCAGAAACTTCTATATAACTGATAGATTATTGATTATCAGAAACTTCTATATAACTGATAGATTATTGATTATCTGAAACTTCTATATAACTGATAGATTATTGATTATCAGAAACTTCTATATAACTGATAGATTATTGATTATCAGAAACTTCTATATAACTGATAGATTATTGATTATCAGAAACTTCTATATAATGATAGATTATTGATTATCTGAAACTTCTATATAACTGATAGATTATTGATTATCTGAAACTTCTATATAACTGATAGATTATTGATTATCTGAAACTTCTATATAACTGATAGATTATTGATTATCAGAAACTTCTATATAACTGATAGATTATTGATTATCAGAAACTTCTATATAACTGATAGATTATTGATTATCTGAAACTTCTATATAACTGATAGATTATTGATTATCTGAAACTTCTATATAACTGATAGATTATTGATTATCTGAAACTTCTATATAACTGATAGATTATTGATTATCAGAAACTTCTATATAACTGATAGATTATTGATTAGAAACTTCTATATTGATTATCTGAAACTTCTATATAACTGATAGATTATTGATTATCAGAAACTTCTATATAACTGATAGATTATTGATTATCTGAAACTTCTATATAACTGATATAATTGATTATCAGATTATTGATTATCAGAAACTTCTATATAACTGATAGATTATTGATTATCAGAAACTTCTATATAACTGATAGATTATTGATTATCAGAAACTTCTATATAACTGATAGATTATTGATTATCAGAAACTTCTATATAACTGATAGATTATTGATTATCTGAAACTTCTATATAACTGATAGATTATATATAACTGATAATTGATTATCTGAAACTTCTATATAATTGATAGATTATTGATTATCAGAAACTTCTATATAACTGATAGATTATTGATTATCTGAAACTTCTATATAACTGATAGATTATTGATTATCAGAAACTTCTATATAACTGATAGATTATTGATTATCAGAAACTTCTATATAACTGATAGATTATAATCTGAAACTTCTATATAATTGATAGATTATTGATTATCTGAAACTTCTATATAACTGATAGATTATTGATTATCTGAAACTTCTATATAATTGATAGATTATTGATTATCAGAAACTTCTATATAACTGATAGATTATTGATTATCAGAAACTTCTATATAACTGATAGATTATTGATTATCAGAAACTTCTATATAACTGATAGATTATTGATTATCTGAAACTTCTATATAACTGATAGATTATTATCTGAAACTTCTATATAACTGATAGATTATTGATTATCAGAAACTTCTATATAACTGATAGATTATTGATTATCTGAAACTTCTATATAACTGATAGATTATTGATTATCAGAAACTTCTATATAACTGATAGATTATTGATTATCCGAAACTTCTATATAATTGATAGATTATTGATTATCAGAAACTTCTATATAACTGATAGATTATTGATTATCAGAAACTTCTATATAACTGATAGATTATTGATTATCAGAAACTTCTATATAACTGATAGATTATTGATTATCTGAAACTTCTATATAATTGATAGATTATTGATTATCTGAAACTTCTATATAATTGATATTATTGATTATCTGAAACTTCTATATAACTGATAGATTATTGATTATCTGAAACTTCTATATAATTGATAGATTATTGATTATCTGAAACTTCTATATAATTGATAGATTATTATCTGAAACTTCTATATAACTGATAGATTATTGATTATCAGAAACTTCTATATAACTGATAGATTATTGATTATCATAAACTTCTATATAACTGATAGATTATTGATTATCTGAAACTTCTATATAACTGATAGATTATTGATTATCTGAAACTTCCATATAATTGATAGATTATTGATATATCTGATAATTGATTATCTGAAACTTCTATATAACTGATAGATTATTATTATCTGAAACTTCTATATAACTGATAATTGATTATCTGAAACTTTTATATAACTGATAGATTATTGATTATCTGAAACTTCTATATAACTGATAGATTTATCTGAAACTTCTATATAACTGATAGATTATTGATTATCTGAAACTTCTATATAATGATATTATTGATTATAGAAACTTCTATATAACTGATAGATTATTGATTATCTGAAACTTCTATATAATTGATAGATTATTGATTATCAGAAACTTCTATATAACTGATAGATTATTGATTATCTGAAACTTCCATATAATTGATAGATTATTGATTATCTGAAACTTCTATATAACTGATAGATTATTGATTATCTGAAACTTCTATATAACTGATAGATTATTGATTATCTGAAACTTCTATATAATTGATAGATTATTGATTATCTGAAACTTCTATATAACTGATACAACCAACACTTTCCCGTCCTCTTATACAACCATCCCGTCCCTGCCTTTTTTATGCAACAAACATGTCCCTGCCTCTTCGGTACATCCAATCTGCCCCAGCATTTTCTTTACAACTAACTCGCCCCTGCCTTTTCTATACAACCAACCGGTCCCTGGCTCTTCTATGCAACCAACCCATCCAAGCCTTTTCTATACAATCAATCCGTCCCTGCCTTTTCTATACATCCAACCCGTCCCTTCCTTTTCTATACATCCAACCCGTCCCTGCCTTTTCTATACAACTAACTCGTCCCTGCCTTTTCTATACATCCAACCGGTCCCTGGCTCTTCTATGCAACCAACCCATCCAAGCCTTTTCTATACAACCAACCCGTCCCTGCCTTTTCTATACATCCAACCTGCCCCTGGCTCTTCTATGCAACCAACCCATCCAAGCCTTTTCTATACAACCAACCCGTCCCTGCCTTTTCTATACATCCAACCCGTCCCTGCCTTTTCTATACAACCAACATTTCGCTGCCTTTTCTATACATCCAACCCGTCCCTGCCTTTTCTATGCAACAAACATGTCCCTGCCTCTTTCATACATCCAACCCGTCCCTGCCTTTTCTATGCAACAAACATGTCTCTGCCTCTTTCATACATCCAACCCGTCCCTGCCTTTTCTATGCAACAAACATGTCCCTGCCTCTTCGGTACATCAAATCTGCCCCAGCATTTTCTTTACAACTAACTCGCCCCTGCCTTTTCTATACAACCAATCCGTTCCTGCCTTTTCTATACATCCAACCCGTCCCTTCCTTTTCTATACATCCAACCTGTCCCTGCCTTTTCTATACAACTAACTCGTCCATGCCTTTTCTATACATCCAACCGGTCCATGCCTTTTCTATACATCCAACCTGCCCCTGGCTCTTCTATGCAACCAATCCATCCAAGCCTTTTCTATACAACCAACATTTCGCTGCCTTTTCTATACATCCAACCCGTCCCTGCCTTTTCTATACATCCAACCCGTCCCTTCCTTTTCTATACATCCAACCCGTCCCTGCCTTTTTTATACAACTAACCCGTCCCTGTCTTTTCTATACATCCAACCCGTCCCTGCCTTTTCTATACAACCAACACTTCCCCGTCTTCCTATACAACCAACCCGTCCCTGCCTTTTCTATACAACCAACACTTCCCCGTCTTACTATACATCCAACCCGTCCGTGCCTTTTCTTTACAACCAACCCGTCCCTGCCTTTTCTATACAACCAACCCGTCCCTGTCTTTTCTATACATCCAACCCGTCCCTGTCTTTTCTATACAACCACCACTTCCCCGTCTTCCTATACATCCAACCCGTCCCTGCCTTTTCTATACAACCAACCTGTCCCTGCTTTTTCTATACAACCAACCCGTCCCTGTCTTTTCTATACAACTAACCCGTCCCTGCCTTTTCTATACAACTAACCCGTCCCTGTCTTTTCTATACAACCAACACTTCTATACAAATTATTCTTGTTGGCACTTATTCTGTGAAAAAAAACGCATCCGGTCTGACGCAAGAACCATAACAACAATATATGATTTCACTATGATTCGTGCGCACTAAAACACTATCATACACAACTTAATACCGTACATCACACGAGCAGGAACTACAATCCTAACATCTCACTTAGGGATTCATGCACTCTGTCTTGTATCCGGTGTTAGATATGAATGTTGCCTAAAACAGAAGACCCTCTACAACTCCATGCGGTCTTCGCTTCTCCGTGCGTTTACGGCTAATGTTGACTTGTGTACCCTCATGCTCCAACCGCCAAACCATGCATGGGTCGAAAAGAGTAATACACGAGCCAAGACAACACAAACCTGCCCTACTTATCTCTATCAATATTAAATGGTCCAAATATAGTCATACATAGGTATAATGCAATATTACATTTTACTTGTTTTGTGTCCGATGGAAGCAGAAATACCTAAGCAATATGTTGATACTGTTGGTGCCTCGATCCACAATTTTAAGGACTTCTCCTGTTTGGCGGTGAAGGTGCCATCTAAGGGACAAGCTGAAAGCACAGGTAAATGACATGAAATTACATATCAACATTATCTAATTACGTGTAAATTTCACGATTAGTAAATCGGTATCATGTAATATTGAACAGATCTCTTAGTCAAATTAATATCTATTCACATACAAGTCCTGTGTCCATAGAGGACAAATTTGTCTAAGTATGTCATTGGGTCTCCACCAAGCCGCTAACATCGCATGTTTGATGTCGTATTGTATACATATATATACATTTGTTTATATTTTGGACATTGTAATCTGGAATTTCTAAGCTAGCCGATTTGGTGACGCAGATTGTGAATTTGAGGCCCGGACAGGGCACCAGTCAAAATTGTCTTCCTTCGAAATTTGCGTTACAATGTCCAAAAAAAACAATAAATTAACACTCTGCATCATATACAGTAATGTTGTCTACCCGAAGGTTCCAGACTTGAATTATCTGTCGTAATTGTACGCGAGCTTGATATATATATAGATATATAGAAATGTACCTGTGAAGGTGATGGAACAAGCTTAGTTGAATGGTTTTTGAGGTGTAGTGCTGTACAGGAACCCAACAGAAGGATCTCAAGTTGTTCAGTAAGCCAGAGCTACCTTGGTGAAGAAAAAAATATAATCAAGTCAGAATTTCCCATCATCATAAACAACGCACCAAAAGATAATGTCTCTTCGGATATAGTTTCAAATAATTGTGGTTGTTGGTTTTTTTCCCCTCTCGTCTCATTTGGTAACACGACATCACTTACTTAAATTTATCAAGATTTACATGGTTGTAATCGCCAATGAAGCAGTAGACACTTACTCTTCCGCAACACTTGGTCTTAGGCCCTTTGCATTTATTTGATGTAACAGCTAAATGGAGAGTAACGTAACCGGCCTTAGTAGAAGCAATGGCTACCTTAACGACAAAGTAAAATTATTGCATATGGTTTGAAATGAATGTCTCTCAAAGTGCAGACACGAAATTCTTCTTTGAGATGATTGTCTCTCCAAAGTCAGACAAAGAACTGTAATTTGAAATGATTGTCCCTCAAAAGACAATTTCACAACTGTACTTTAAAAAATTGTCTCTCAAAAGAGGAAAAAGTAAAAGGGATAAACATCTTCTGTTCGTTGACGACACCCACCATTTAAATCTTGGTCAGTGCACGTAGCGACACGATCTGAATGACGAGCGGTTTCATAACATAAAAAAAACAAGCACATATATCACATATCTAATGGTTACAATACTGTAATACCGTTTCCATGAAGTCATAACGATGATTATTTTGCCCTATCTCTAGCCCAAAAACTGATGTGCTACACACAGTTTCAATAATGTGCCATATAATAAGAGCAGATCTGACCTCTTTTCACAAACATAAGGAAACGGTAGAGTAAACTTTCGGTATACCTGCACCTCCTCCTTTAAGGAACATGAGGAAACAGTAGAGTAAGATTTGACTCCAGCAGAAGACAGGCAATATTTCCACAAGTTCTTCTTTACTGTCAGAAGTTCCAGCCCCAGAATCTAAGAAGGAGTATGTGGCCTGTCCTTTCTCCAGGGAGGTCTGAGATAGAGAAGTGGAAGACACATTGTCTCCAATAGCCTCAAATTCCAGTTTTTCGTACACCTTGACTGCTAGACTGTCAACTAGGAAAAAAACATTTAGGGGAAAATATTTACTTTTGAATCTAAACAGACAAAGCAATCGCACCCCTACACTTGTCTCATACCTACGTCTACATCTATCTCACATCTATGCCTACACTTAAATCATTTCTGCAACTTAAGCTGTCTCGCATCTATTTTTCATTCTATCTCACTCCTAACCCACAGTTATCTCTCAACTACACCTGAAGCTGTTTTATCTTGAACCTTAAGCTGTCTCAAAAACAACAGTGTTTGAAGATCTTACTACCAAAGTTGACGAAGATGTTGTCGACCAGAAATCTATTTTAGGATTCGTCCTCTGTATATTTCTTTTGTGATTTGGACATGTTTTTTTTTACGAAATACGCTTATACCATTGTTTACCTTTCTTGGAGAAGAAAACTCTCATAACAAGTTTGGAATGGGATATGGTGGTGCACAGGGTTTTAAAGACTGGTCAACCTACATCTACAGCTGTCTTATCTTACACCTTAAGCTGTCTCTACCTACATCTACAGCTGTCTTGTCTTACACCTAGAAACTGTCTCTCCCTACATCTACAGATGTCTTATCTTACACCTAGAAGTTGTATCTCCCTACATCTACAGCTGTCTTATCTTACACCTAGAAGCTGTCTCTACCTACATCTACAGCTGTCTTATCTTACACCTACAGCTGTCTCTACCTACATCTACAGCTGTCTTGTCTTACACCTAAAGCTCTTTCTACCTACATCTACAGCTGTCTTATCTTACACCAAAAGCTGTATTTCCCTACATCTTCAGCTGTTTTATCCTAAATCTAATGATGTCTTATCCTAAATATAACGTTCTCTCTACCTACTTTTAAAGCTGTCTTATCCTAAATCTAAAGTTGTCTTATCCTTAATCTAAAGCTGTCAAATCTTACATCTAAAGCTGTCTCTACCTACTAAAACTGTTCTTACACCTGAAGCTGTCTCAACATACGCCTATAAATATCTTATCTTACACCTAAAACGTTTCATCCTAAATCTAAAATTGTCTTTTCTTACACCCAAATCTGCCTCTACCTACTCCTAAAGCTGTCTTATCTTACACCTAAAACGTGTCATCCTAAATCTAAAATTGTCTTTTCTTACACCCAAATCTGCCTCTACCTACTCCTAAAGCTGTCTTATCTTACACCTAAAACATCTCATCCTAAATCTAAAATTGTCTTTTCTTACACCCAAATCTGCCTCTACCTACTCCTAAAGCTGTCTTATCTTACACCTAAAACATCTCATCCTAAATCTAAAATTGTCTTTTCTTACACCCAAATCTGCCTCTACCTACTCCTAAAGCTGTCTTATCTTACACCTAAAACATCTCATCCTAAATCTAAAAAGTGTCTTTTCTAACACATAAAGCTGTCTCAACCTATTTTTTCTAAAACTGTCTTATCTTACACCTAAAGCTGTCTCAACCTACCCCTAAATCTGTCTTATCTTTCACTTAAAGCTGTGTCTCTGAACATCTAAGTCTGTGTCACCAAACATCTAAATCCGTGTTACCTAACAACTAAAGCTGTATCACCTAATACCTACAGCTGTGTCACCTAACACCTAAAGCTGTCTCACCTAACATCTAATCCTGTCTCACCTAACAACTAAAGATGTCTCACCTAACATCTAATCCTGTCTCACCAAACAACTAAAGCTGTCTCACCAAACATAAAATCCTGTGTCACCTAACATTCAAAGCTGTGTCACCTAACACCTAAAGCTGTCTCACCTAACATCTAATCCTGTCTCACCTAACATCTAATCCTGTCTCACCAAACACCTAAAGCTGTCTCACCAAACATAAAATCCTGTCTCACCTAACACCTAAAGCTGTCTCACCTAACATCTAATCCTGTCTCACCTAACATCTAATCCTGTCTCACCAAACACCTAAAGCTGTCTCACCAAACATAAAATCCTGTCTCACCTAACACCTAAAGCTGTCTCACCTAACATCTAATCCTGTCTCACCTAACATCTAATCCTGTCTCACCAAACATCTAATCCTGTCTCACCTAACACCTTAAGCTGTCTCACCAAACAACTAAAGCTGTCTCACCTAACACCTAAAGCTGTCTCACCTAACATCTAATCCTGTCTCACCTAACATCTAATCCTGTCTCACCTAACACCTTAAGCTGTCTCACCAAACAACTAAAGCTGTCTCACCTAACATCTAATCCTGTCTCACCTAACACCTAAAGCTGTCTCACCTAACATCTAATCCTGTCTCACCTAACACCTAAAGGTGTCTCACCTAACATCTAATCCTGTCTCACCTAACACCTAAAGCTGTCTCACCTAACATCTAATCCTGTCTCACCTAACATCTAATCCTGTCTCACCTAACACCTAAAGCTGTCTCACCTAACATCTAATCCTGTCTCACCTAACACCTAAAGCTGTCTCACCTAACATCTAATCCTGTCTCACCTAACACCTAAAGCTGTCTCACCTAACATCTAATCCTGTCTCACCTAACACCTAAAGCTGTCTCACCAAACAACTAAAGCTGTCTCACCAAACATAAAATCCTGTGTCACCTAACACGTAAAGCTGTGTCACCAAACACCGTGTCACCTAACACTTAAAGCTGTGTCAACCTCCTCCTTAATCTGTCCTATCTTTCACCTAAAGCTGTGTCACCTAATATTTAAAGTTATGTCACGCTACATCTTAAGCTGTGTCAACAAATACATAAAGCTGTATCACCCTTAAACCTAACGGTGTTTCACCAAACACCTAGAGTTGTGTCAGCAAACACCTAGAGTCACTCAACATTTAAGGCTGTGTCACTCTTAAAACTTAAGTTGTGTCACTCAAGATCATAAGTTGCGTCATTCCTGCACCTAAAGCTTTGTCATCCAACACCTAAAGTTGTGTCACTCCTGTGTCAATTAACATTTTCAGATGTGTCACCCAACACTAAACTTGTGTCAATCAACACCTAAAGTTGTGTTACCCAAAACCTAGAGCTGTGTCACCCAACACCTAAAACTGTGTTATCCAAAACCTAAAGCTCTGTCGCCCAACACCTAAAGCTGTTGTACCCAAATGCTAAAGTTGTGTCACAGAGCAATGTAACTTGAATTGTCGGTAAGTTTAGCTGATCTTAAAAGGTTTTAGCGTTTATGTATAAAGACCTTTATGTGTGGCTTACCTAATACAAACCTATATGTGTGCCTTACCTTATACAAACCTATATGTGTGCCTTACCTAATACAAACCTATAGGTGTGGCTTACCTAATACAAACCTATATGTGTGGTTTACCTAATGCAAACCTATATGTGTGACTTACCTAATACAAACCTATATGTGTGACTTACCTAATACAAACCTATATGTGTGACTTACCTAATACAAAGCTATGTATGACTTACCTATATCCCTACTGACTAATGGAACAAGCAGGTTGACAACACGTCCTAAGCCCAGCAGTACCATACAAATACACACCAAACCCTGTTTTGGATAATTTCCTTTTGGCCAAACATACGGCAGCACCATCCGTAATTTCCTAAACGCATTAGACCAAGTAGATTTATTCCTGGCCTTCTTTTTCTTTAGGTAGTCCATCTGGTAAAAAAAATATATATATATCCAATGTAGGATAATTACGTGTGCAATAATTGCAGGTAAGATGATTGCAGGTACAATATTTAAAGGTTTAGATATTCACAGGTATAATAGCCACAGGTACAATATTTACAGGTTTAGATATTCACAGGTATAATAGCCACAGGTACGATATTTACAGGTTTAGATATCCACAGGTACGATATTTACAGGTTTAGATATTCACAGGTATAATAGCCACAGGTACGATATTTACAGGTTTAGATATTCACAGGTATAATAGCCACAGGTACGATATTTACAGGTTTAGATATCCACAGGTACGATATTTACAGGTTTAGATATTCACAGGTATAATAGCCACAGGTACGATATTTACAGGTTTAGATATTCACAGGTATACTAGCCACAGGTACGATATTTACAGGTTTAGATATTCACAGATACGATAATTACAGGTTTAGATATCCACAGGTATAATAGCCACAGGTACGATATTTACAGGTTTAGATATTCACAGGTACGATAATTACAGTTTTAGATATTCACAGGTACAATAGCCACAGGTACGATATTTACATGTTTAGATATCAACAAGTATAATAGCCACAGTACGATATTTACAGGTTTAATAGCCACAGGTACGATATTTACAGGTTTAGATATCCACAGGTACGATATTTACAGGTTTAGTTATTCACAGGTACAATAGGTATGCTAATTAGAGGTATGATAGTTATCGGTATGCTAATTAGAGGTATGATAGTTATAAGTATGTTCATTACAGGTATGATAGTTATAGGTATGTTAATTAGAGGTATAATAGTTATAGGTATGTTTATTAGAGGTATAATAGTTACAGGTATAAGAGGTATAATTGTTACAGGTATGTTAATTAGAGGTATAATAGTTACAGGTATGTTAATTAGAGGTATGATAGTTACAGGTATGTTAATTAGAGGTATGATAGTTACAGGTATGTTAATTAGAGGTATGATAGTTACAGGTATGTTAATTAGAGGTATGATAGTTACAGGTATGTTAATTAGAGGTATAATAGTTACAGGTATGTTAATTAGAGGTATGATAGTTACAGATATGTTAATTAGAGGTATGATAGTTATCGGTATGTTAATTAGAGGTATAATAGTTACAGGTATGTTAATTAGAGGTATGATAGTTATCGGTATGTTAATTAGAGGTATAATAGTTACAGGTATGTTAATTAGAGGTATGATAGTTACAGGTATGTTAATTAGAGGTATAATAGTTACAGGTATGTTAATTAGAGGTATGATAGTTACAGATATGTTAATTAGAGGTATGATAGTTATCGGTATGTTAATTAGAGGCATAATAGTTACAGGTATGTTAATTAGAGGTATGATAGTTATCGGTATGTTAATTAGAGGTATAATAGTTACAGGTATGTTAATTAGAGGTACGATAGTTATCGGTATGTTCATTAGAGGTATGATAGTTATCGGTATGTTCATTAGAGATATGATAGTTACAGGTATGTTAATCAGAGGTATAATTGTTACAGGTATGTTAATTAGAGGTATGATAGTTACAGGTATGTTAATTAGAGGTATGATAGTTTTCGGTATGTTAATTAGAGGTATAATTGTTACAGGTATGTTAATTAGAGGTATGATAGTTACAGGTATGTTAATTAGAGGTATGATAGTTACAGATATGTTAATTAGAGGTATGATAGTTTTCGGTATGTTAATTAGAGGTATGATAGTTACGGGTATGTTAATTAGAGGTATGATAGTTTTCGGTATGTTAATTAGAGGTATGATAGAGTTACAGGTATGTTAATTAGAGGTATGATAGTTATCGGTATGTTAATTAGAGGTATGATAGTTATAGGTATGTTAATTAGAGGTATGATAGTTATCGGTATGTTAATTAGAGGTATGATAGTTATAGGTATGTTAATTAGAGGTATGATAGTTATCGGTATGTTAATTAGAGGTATGATAGTTACAGGTATGTTAATTAGAGGTATGATAGAGTTATAGGTATGTTAATTAGAGGTATAATAGTTATAGGTATGTTAATTAGAGGTATGATAGTTATCGGTATGTTAATTAGAGGTATGATAGTTATAGGTATGTTAATTAGAGGTATGATAGTTATAGGTATGTTAATTAGAGGTATGATAGTTACAGGTATGTTAATTAGAGTTATAATTGTTACAGGTATGTTAATTAGAGGTATGATAGTTACAGGTATGTTAATTAGAGGTATAATAGTTAAAGGTATGTTAATTAGAGGTATGATAGTTAGAGGTATGTTAATTAGAGGTATGATAGTTATCGGTATGTTAATTAGAGGTATGATAGTTATAGGTATGTTAATTAGAGGTATGATAGTTATAGGTATGTTAATTAGAGGTATGATAGTTTTCGGTATGTTAATTAGAGTTATAATTGTTAAAGGTATGTTAATTAGAGGTATGATAGTTATAGGTATGTTAATTAGAGGTATGATAGTTATAGGTATGTTAATTAGAGGTATGATAGTTATATGTATGTTAATTAGAGGTATGATAGTTAGAGGTATGTTAATTAGAGGTATGATAGTTAGAGGTATGTTAATTAAAGGTATAATAGTTATATGTATGTTAATTAGAGGTATGATAGTTAGAGGTATGATTATTATAGTTAAGATTATAAGAGGTACAGTATTCACAGGTATGATATTCAAATGTTTGATATCAGAGCTAATTGCTAGCACATTTAAATATACCATTATTGTCATTGTTTTAATGCATTATTACTCTGAAGTATCAACGAATACACTGACCTTTTCTTCGGTATTAATTGCGCTGTGTTGTCTAAGTGGACAGACAACAGACGGGAGTAGTAATAGACTGATCAGTATTACACAGATGGAAAGTCTGATCACCCAGATACCAAACTCCGTCCTGGTCGACACCCTAAAAATATTCAATCGTACTAGAAAAAAAAACGTACAGTACAAATTTCAACATGTTTACTTCATCTTCATTTCTAAGTGGAATATTAATGTAATAACATAGCCTTCCACTTAAAACAACACTTCATTGACCTAAATAACAACTATCTATAGCATGTTTCGCACGTACACACACTTAACAACTCACCTACCAAAACAACACATAACGTCAACACTTTCCTACGCTATTAACAACAGCACTCCCTATCCATATGTATTTACACGTTACTGCACAGTTACTTACACAACACCTGCCTACACACCACTGTCCACCTTCCAACACAACAAAACACTATTATGTAAACAGCACTCCCTACACATATGTATTTACACATTACTGCACAGTTTCTTACACAACACCTACCTACACACCACTGTCCACCTTCCAACATAACAAAACACACTTATGTAAACAGCACTCCCTACCCATATGTATTTACACATTACTGCCCAGATACTTACTCTACACATATTTCAACATTGCACTCCCTAGCTACACACCAAAAACACCTACCTACACACAATACATACATATACAACACTTATATATATAACATACATTACCTACGCACACAACTCATAACACCTACACATACAACACATACCTACACATCACTATCCATCTACCAACACAACATAAAAACATTGTCCTACACAGAACTCCCTACCTACACACTTCAAAACATCTACCTACATAACACACAACACTTATACATTCAACACCTGCCTACATATTACTGTCCACCTGCCAACACAAAACACTGTCCTACACGTTTCCTACCTACACAACACAATACCTACTTACATAATATCTTCCTACACGCCACGAAGCACTCACCTACATAATACAAAACACCTATACATACAACACATACCTACACATCACTATCCATCTACCAACACAACATAAAAACATCGTCCTACACAGAACTCCCTACCTACACACTTCAAAACATCTACCTACATAACACACAACACCTATACATTCAACACCTGCCTACATATTACTGTCCACCTGCCAACACAAAACACTTTCCTACACAGCACTCCCTACACAACACAATACCTACCTACACAACATGAAGCAATCACCTACATAACACAAAACACCTATACATACAACACCTTCCTTCATCTTACTGTACACCTACCAATACAACACAAAACACCTTCCTACACAACATTCCCTATCTAGACACCACGAAGCACTCAACGACATAGCACCTATACATACAACACCTTCCTTCATCTTACTGTACACCTACCAATACAACACAAAACACCTTCCTACACAACATTCCCTATCTACACACCACTAAATCACCATACAGGACTCTACAAGGCTTTTACACTTCGGCGATACGATAAGATTATTTCATTGGTTTACCACAGGTCAGATATAGGTAGGTCATGGCGATGATTTGATCGTTCTACGAGCATACTAGACTTAGAGCCAACGATTCATGCCGTGGTTGACTCGCTGATACAAGTGTTGTTTGTTGTGCTATACTTCGTCAGATACGCATCTGCAAGACGGTGTTTTGTGGTGTACAGAAAGTCAAACTTAGCATACTGAAGTGTTTTAGAAAGAACACTCGCTCGTCAATTGACGTGAATTGTGCACGGGATTCAGATTCTAAGCTATGCTTGGAAGTAGCTGTGAATGTCTCTTTATGTACTATATATCAAAGTGTCGGTAGTAGTAGTAACTTGTGCATCTTATCGGTACAATTCACTTGTTTCATGCTCATTTCCAAGAATCTTAGAGTCTTATGTTTGTTGAGTGTTCATTCCTTGATTTGCTTTTTGTAAACAGAATCAATATCTTTGTACGATTTTCCAACATTACCAAAGTGAAGGCCAAAACTTCTTCGTTTTTCTTAAGTAACATTATGATCTACAATTCTGAACAAGGAGATGAAACCATTTATATATGATAATAACAAAAGCATGGATCGAGAAATAAGCTCTTGAAAACACCAGCTGATGAAATGATGTTACTGAGGGGGAGGGTTGCTAAGGAGTCTGCCATCTTGGATTTCCATAGAACCTTCTTAACCTACGATCCCTCAGTAACATCATTTCATCATGGCAGAGTGTATGACGTGATCACCCAACGAGTTATCGCCCCTTGTCACTAATTGTCTCCACTGTTCTGCTTGGTTGGTTTTATATAAATATTCAAATGATATATATGATAATTTATGTATATGGTTTTAATAAGTATAATTATTATTATTGGAGTATTAGCGAAGACAAGACTTTTGGTAGAAACAGAAATTGATCTTAAGTAAGTCTTCAAAGTTAGAGCCTTTCTAAAGGGATGGGTGATTAACAAACCATCATCATTTAAAGGAGACCGAGAGTGTGATTAAGTATAAGATTTAAGTACTGATTTGGCAATTTTCCACCATTCACTAGGAGAAAGAAATATGCTACTAAGTGAGCTTCTCCATATATTTCCGTTTTGCTCTTCTGTTAAGGTCAGTTATCTGGTTTCTACTATTTATATAGTTTCAATATAATCTGCGACTGAAAGAAACTTGTTTTTTATTAGGTCAGTTAAATGGTTTCTCATACGAAAACGCATCCAACCTTTCTATTGACATAGTACCACAGGCTGGACTTTGATAAACACTCCTCCGCACACACACATCATCATCATTCCATTGTTCTCTAGTACCACGTCCTGGACCCGGATACACTCTTCTCAGCACAAACATCTCAACTTTGTATTGACCTCTGGTGTCACGAACTGGAGTATGATACAACTTCCTCCACACATATCATCGTTCTATTAACCTCTACCGCTGGCGCTAGACCAGGTTATATACTCATCCGTACACAAACCCAACCTTTTTATTGACATCTAGTACCGCTGCCCGGACCAGGATACACACTAATCCGTACATACACCTTACCTTCCTATTGACCACTAGTACCGCATCCCGGACCAGGATACACAATAATCCGTACATACACCTTACCTTCCTATTGACCACTAGTACCGCAGCCCGGACCAGGATACACAATAATCCGTACATACACCTTACCTTCCTATTGACCACTAGTACCGCAGCCCGGACCACGATACACAATAATCCGTACATACACCTTACCTTCCTATTGACCACTAGTACCGCAGCCCGGACCAGGATACACAATAATCCGTACATACACCTTACCTTCCTATTGACCACTAGAACCCCAGCCCGGACCAGGATACACACTAATCCGTACATATATACCTTACCTTCCTATTGACCACTAGTACCCCAGCCCGGACCAGGATACACACTAATCCGTACATACACCTTACCTTTCTATTGACCACTAGTACCGCAGCCCGGACCAGGATACACACTAATCCGTACATAAATCTGATCTTTCTTTTGATATAGTACCACTGGCTGGACGATGATACACACTCCACAATACTCATACATATCCTCTCTGTTGTGATAGTAACACCGGCTGGACCAGGATACTGACCTCCAGCACGAGGGGCTGTACCAAGATAAACACTCATTCGCACATCTACCTCATCTTTCTCTTGACATAGTGCCACTGGCTTGACCAGCATACACACTAATCCGAACATACGACTGATCTTTCTCTTGACAAAGTACCACTGGCTAGACAAGGATACACACTCATCCGCACATCTACCTCACCCTTCACTTGACCTAGTACAAGGATGCACACGCATAACTTACGTTTCCATTGACCACCAGTACCAAGGGCTGAACCAGGACACAAATGCTAAAATTTCTTTCAACAAAACCAGACATAGGAACCCTGATAGCAGCCATTTTGACGTGTTGTAATATTTTATCTGAGTATTGCAGGTGACGGAAGATTCAGAGTTTTCTATGCTGATATATAATATCCACGTAATCGCTCCCAGAACAGCAGTCATGACCTGTTGACCTGTGATTTCCCTTTGTCCTGTCACCATATCATCCAGGACACCCCTTACAGCTGACTCTAACACCAGTACACTTCCTGATAAAATACAAACACATTTAATCATATTCACAATGCTCCTATCTCAAATTATGTTTTAAATGACATGTCCTGTATTTTGTGGCATCTTTACAGACAGAGAGAATGAGAGAAATTCCTACCAAGCATTATCCGTAGAACGTAATGCCAGGATCTTCCTCTAAAGTCTGGATTGCGTTCTTCTGAAGCATCCTCCTCTGGAGGGTTCTCAGCATCAGGTTTGTCTACTTGTACAAGCTTGTGCTTCTTTCTGTGTGTTTTCCTCGCCAGAGTAAATACTCGTACAAGAAGGATGTACACGAACGGTATCAGAGTTCCTAATGTTCCATACAAACAGGAGTCGATACCATCATCATGCCAACCTCCAACAGCTGTGTTGTTCATACAATACTGCATCTGGTGAGAGAATCAAGTTATTGCAAGATGCAGTCATTTAATAGTCACCTAAACAAGTATTAGTTTAGTCTGAATATAATTATAGTGAATGTAGTTACAATTGTCCTTCTGCCAAATCCCACGAATTGTTTTGTTCTATATTGTTTAACGTCAACAGGTACATATAAAAATATTGTTCTTTCAGGAATTAAGGCCGACTTTATACTGCTACCATTCTGAAGGCCCCAAGCAAGACACCTGACCCAGTCACATTATACTGGCAACGGGCAAGCAGATCGTTACACTACCATAATATTGTGCACGGAGTGTTAACTACCCGTTTTTATTATAAGTTGATATTAATTATTAATTAACTAAATTCAGACAAATTTACAAAGACATCACGTGATAACATCAAATATCAATAAATTAAAAAGATATCTTATTATTTATATTTACAAATAAGAAAACAAAAACATTATTATCAAAAAAAGAAAACACCATAGTATTTGTATTTACAAAAACATCTTGTAATTACATAAATTATAACTCAATCCAGACAATTACTTCATTATTTATATTCTGCAAAATAATCTTGTCACTACACAAACTATAACTAAATTAAGATAATATTTCCATAATTTTACAATGAGTCGTGAATTTTGAAAAGTATGACTATGCTATTATCCCTAAGGTAACTCAGTAAAACGTCATGTACTATATTTAGAACCGTGCTACTAACGGAAAGGTAACTCAGTAAAACGTCAGGTACTATTGTTAATGGTGAAATTTGTCACTCAAGTGTAGAACATAATTTGTGTTAAATCTTAATGTGACCGGCTGGCTTATCAGACAGATAGTCTAATTGCGGTCACCTTGGTGTCAGAGTCATGCCGTGAAACATTGGCTGGACATGCTCTCCACCAGTGAGACATTAACTGGTCACAGTTTAATTGCAGATCAGAAGAAGACACTTTCCCTATCAGAATTAGATTATAATTACTTTAGGATAAACTGTGAGATCACAGCAAATAGAGTCAGTCCTGGTGTGGCTTAACTTGTGTTAATATTCAACATTTGTACTTGAGAACGGTTGTTGCTTGTCTTTTGTATAACATAAGGATAGTACAACATAGAGGGGTAACAACTATATTTAGAACCGTGCTACTAACGGAACGGTAACTCAGTAAAACGTCAGGTACTATATTTAGAACCGTGCTACTAACGGAAAGGCAACTCAGTAAAACGTCAGGTACTATATTTAGAACCGTGCTACTAACGGAAAGGTAACTCAGTGAAACGTCAGGTACTATATTTAGAACCGTGCTACTAACGGAAAGGTAACACAAAAAAACTCATAATTACGGCCTTACCATCAATATTTAATATACATATATACATAACAATCCGATGGTATTGAATGACTAAATTTTATCACTGACACCCAGATGGTATAGAATGACATCATGATTATAATACTGACACTCGGATGGTATAGAATGACATCATGATTATAATACTGACACCAGGATGGTATAGAATGACATCATGATTATAATACTGACACCAGGATGGTATAGAATGACATCATGATTATATCACTGACACCCAGATGGTATAGAATGACATCATGATTATATCACTGACACCCAGATGGTATAGAATGACATCATGATTATATTATTGACACCCAGATGGTATAGAATGACATCATGATTATAATACTGACACCCGGATGGTATAGAATGACATCATGATTTTATAACTGACACCCGGATGGTATAGAATGACATCATGATTTTATAACTGACACCCAGATGGTATAGAATGACATCATGGTTATATATATATATATATATCTGTGTGTGTGGGTAGGGGGGCATTATGGTTTTTTTTAAGTATAAATATAAAATTAACACTCGTATGATGTATAATGACATCAAGACTATATCACTTATGGTCTTATTGTATTCAAATCAGTCATTAAAATCAAATGTTGGGAGACAAAAATGTCCGGTTATGTCAGAGAAGAGTATGTACATACATGTGTGTATTAATATATTCCTCTATTAAAGGAGAGATAACATTCTCTGTAGTAAAACGTGTGTTCCTAAAGTATTTAGGATACCCAAAAAATACATCATTCATGTGAAGATTATCATATTGGGTGGGTATATAATGCTACATTACTGTTTAGATATAAAAATCTAGTACTTACATCTTCGAGGCCTCAACACATGTACGTGTGATATCAGGTTATCTGGGTATGAGGATAGGAATGTAAACACACAGCAGTGTACTACCGTGATAATGTATAAAATAGTGTGATGTTTGAGCAAATACAGTGTACTGCCGTACTCGTACATGCATACATTTGAACAAAATAGGTCATTGTGACCTTGAATATTTTTGTTCTTGTATAGGGCCCTGGGTTAACTTAATTTTATTAATTTTTCAATAATTCAGTAAAATGATCTAAAGTTCGGCTCAAAGCCAGGTGCGTATTCATTAATGTTTTTTTACTAAATATGGTAGTAAAGTTTTGTATCCAAATTAATAGATTAATCATAAAATATCCTTTTTTGTATATACCACCTTTAGGGATTCCTTAACCGCCCTTTACTATTCAAGTGTGTGGTATGATACTAAGCGGACAGATTGTCCCCCTATACATTTTAAGTCTATAGTATGATATTTAGTATCTATATATATCTGGTGAGTAGTTTTATGGTTTCAGGTATCTATATATATCTGGTGAGTAGTTTTATGGTTTCAGGTATCTATATATATCTGGTGAGTAGTTTTATGGTATCTGGTATCTACATATATCTGATGAGTAGTTTTATGGTTTCAGGTATCTATATATATCTGGTGAGTAGTTTTATGGTATCTGGTATCTATATATATCTGGTGAGTAGTTTTATGGTTTCAGGTATCTATATATATCTGGTGAGTAGTTTTATGGTATCTGGTATCTATATATATCTGGTGAGTAGTTTTATGGTATCTGGTATCTATATATATCTGGTGAGTAGTTTTATGGTATCTGGTATCTATATATATCTGGTGAGTAGTTTTATGGTATCTGGTATCTATATATATCTGGTGAGTAGTTTTATGGTATCTATATATATATATATATAGTGGGTAGTTTTATGGTACATGGTATCTATATATATCCGTTATCTATGTGTTCAAGATGTGTAAACTATATTATAGCAAATCCCATCAGCAGTTGCCAACTTTGAATCCCATATCAAGGAAGAAAATGGACAGCAGATAAAAATTTGTTTTAACTTCTATATTGGGTGGTAGGGCCGTCACTAATAAAGTAAGCTGTGTTGACAGTAGACTTTAGATTCTTTATTTGCATTAAAACTCCAGTGTGTAACGTAACTTGCCTTTGACTAGCGCCAAAATGGACGCTCTGGATTTCTTTGTCGTACTTGCAACTGTAATTTTCTGAAAAGTCGATGTGCAGGAGTGTTTCATTTTCTTTCATGTTTTCTCGTAAATGTCTCAGGGCGCGATATTGATGTTTGATATTGCAAACATGACGGCATATTTTCGTTATTTGGCAATGGAATTCCTCAACGAGTATCTCCAACGGTCCATTTTGTTCTTCTCTCACAGTCATTTGAGTAGTGTATTTCTCTTCTTCACCGTCAGCATTTTTCTTGGTTCTCTCTTCGCGCCTTGTAGTCCACTTCTTCCATTTAACTTAAGACCTAATTCAATGTTTCCAATTTCAAGCTGTTTGTTGATGCATTGTGAACGCTCTCGGTACATATATTCCTTTCTTTCAGCACTGCAACATATTTCAGCCAAGATATTTAAATCGCATGATGCAACAGCTTTAAGTTCTTTTTAGCTTATCCAGCTGATATTGTATGTTTTCATGTTTAGCGCATAAGCAGGTTTCGTGGTCTTTATCTCTGTCTTTCAGTACCCAAAAAGGTCTAAATCTGCAAAATAAGGAATATGAAACCGATATCTGGGGATTTTCGCTGAGGAACTTGTCATGTAGATGCCGTAAATCGTCATTCAAAAGCCTCTTTTGTTTTTATTTCGTTTTTATTTTTTTTTTGTTTAAATCGTGTGATAGTTTCTTTTTTTCCGGCCGTTGCACGGGTATTGTAATCCCGCTCCAAGAAATGTTTCACGGCTTTTCTGATTTCCTCTATCCTTCCAGAACTTTTCCATATAACCAACGTTCATGTAAAATTTCA